AGGAGGGTTGGGATTTTTTGACCGATTTTGGAGTAAAAAACTGGGATTTTCTTGCTTTATTCTTGAATAACTCCAAGAGAATACAATTCATGCAAACAAAACTCAAACACAATACTAACCAATGTTTATGCTTTTTATTAATATTTTTTGTTCAGTAAATCAATGCATGCGTTAGTAGCTGCGTCACTCTTTAACTAGAAAAACCATCTTTTCCCCCTCTGAGAGACTCATTTTGTTCTTGAGCTACGAATAAGTATAACCATTTTAAAGAGCTTGAAATCTCCTGTGGAATGAGCTAACTTGCATATTGATACAATGAAGCTTGAGTGTTTTACGAACGATAAAGTGTTTCAAAAACAGGCGACTTTGTGTACCTCTAACTGGTTGCAAAATGGCTTTTTGGAGATAAAAACCTTGCTACAGGTAGCTCTAAAAATTCTATGTGGAATAGGCTATATACCAAAAGCAAGCGCTATCCTGGAGCAGCACAAATTTCCTTCGAAATCCTGCCAGAGCAACTTCACCAATGGAAGAGATGGGAAATCAATCAAAACACTGATGGTTGTCACGTGGTAACCCAACCCGCATTTCCTGTTGCTACGCCCCGTTGCCAATCCCTTTCATTTACTCTAATATCTATGGCAGATCTGAGCATGCGCGACCACACCCAAATTTTGGAGCACATGCTTCTTTAATTAACAAAATGGCGGCATGCAGCTAAGATGGCTCTATCCAGCAGTCAGAGTCAGGGGCGTAGCTGAGGTAGGGCCTGAGGGGGCCTGGGCCCTACCATCAAAGTAGCCTTATAATTATATTCATTGCAATTATAACCCAAAAGATTATATTCATTGTTCTTACAATAACAAAAGGGGGTGGCTGATAACCACAGCTCTTTTTAAAGCTCTATACTATGATAATTTCACTCTGATTTTGCTCAGCTTGCAGGAAAATGCCTCCATTTTGTTACGTAAAAGAGGTGTAGCCAAAATTGCGGCGCGCTTCGCGCGCCATTTTATCTTCTTGCCCTACCGTCACCCAAGGTCCAGCTACGCCCCTGGTCAGAGTATCACTTTTTCTTTACTTGAAGAATGATCTGATGGGACATGGACCTGCGAATAGACTATTGGAGTAGATTGGTGTAAGAATTATCCTTGTAGCACCAACTGATACTGAGATACACACCGACAACTGGATTGACAGGACTTGATGATGATGATGATGAAGATGAAAAAAGTGGCTGAACAAAACGGCCGGTTCGCCGATTTTTGGCTTTTCTAGTCTTAGACAAGCAGGGGCGTAGCTGAGGTAGGGCCTGAGGGGGCCTGGGCCCTACCATCAAAGTAGCCTTATAATTATATTCATTGCAATTATAACCCAAAAGATTATATTCATTGTTCTTACAATAACAAAAGGGGGTGGCTGATAACCACAGCTCTTTTTAAAGCTCTATACTATGATAATTTCACTCTGATTTTGCTCAGCTTGCAGGAAAATGCCTCCATTTTGTTACGTAAAAGAGGTGTAGCCAAAATTGCGGCGCGCTTCGCGCCATTTTATCTTCTTGCCCTACCGTCACCCAAGGTCCAGCTACGCCCCTGTAGACAAGGTCTAGAGCCACGCTATGGGTACCAATGGAGTCCTCTGGTCAAGATAAGGTCCTCTATAAAGTCTGGTAAGCATAGGAGCTCGTTTTCCCGGTATAGCAAGCAGGGGCGTATCTGAGGGGGGGCCTACAGGGGCCTGGGCCCCCCCATCAATTGTTGTAGATAATGATATTCATTGTTTGTTTTATTACTTACCACCTAGTAATAAAAATTAACCACCTTGTAATCATTTACAATACATTGCACAGCAGCAAATGTACAAGAAATAAGAAGTAGACAGAAGCAAAACATTCATTTTATATTAATCATTGTTGAAAATGTAAGATTTTGATGCTTTTAAAATACGCAAAATGCTATTTTAGTGCACTATACGAACGCTAAAAAGGGTGTGGCCAAATTTTCGGCGCGCTTCGCGCGCCATTTATCTCCAGGCCCCCTCATCATTTCCTTCCCAGCTACGCCCCTGATAGCAAGGCTGCAAAAGTCGTGGCAGCCATTTTGTTTGGGGGTGAATCCTATTAGTAACGCTACCGCGTTACTAAAACGCTACCGCGTTACTAATATGTAATAAATTACCATCAGTAGAGTATCCCAGTTGTCTACAGACTACCTGAGCATTGGTGTGTGTCCACATATCATCACAAACAGTTCCCCAATCTCCATTAATACATATTTCTAGTCTTCCCACATTTGGACCATCTCCATCTACTAAACGTACCTGACCATGTAAGCAACCTGTACATAAAAATTTGACAATTTGTAGATGAAGGATATACAGAGCAAGCTAAGCCAAACAGAGAGACCTACCATTGACTAGAGCTGTTGATAATATCCAAGCAGAGAAAAGTAATGTGAGGAGCAACATTTTTAGTATGGCTATACAGCTCTTTCTAACCACACCTAGACCTGCTAATAAACAAGGCTACAGTATATAAACTAGAGTACATAAGTAGATTTGTATTCAAAAAATAGATACCTAACAAATGTTGTCACTATAAACTACTATGTGTTTGTAGTACTACTTTAGATCTATATGCACTACAAATCTAGTTTTCACTATGCATCATTAGGGGACTCAGACCAACCAGATAGCATCAGCAAACTAACCTAAGTAAATCTGTATGCTCTTGCATTTCCTGTGATGCATTGAGCGGTTCCATAATGCAATCATCCTCCAGTATCCAGTAACTCCACTACTCCTATTGGATCCAGACCAGGATATGGTACCTTACCAAGACTGAATATTTTCCAACAAAGAACACCATAAGACCACTGTAAATAAGAATAAAATTAAAAAATGATAGACTAATGATTGCATGATTGAGTGTAATGGCAAATGAATACTTACAACATCTGATTTTTCAGAGAACAGTCCATCATGAAGGGTCTTTAATGCCATCTATTTCACTGGTAGTTTAACTGTTGATGATCCTGAGTTATTATCACTGCCCTTTAGTTGCCTGAAGTAATTGCAAGCATATTATGTTATCAAATAGACCAAAATCAGCTTTAGCAATACAATTATCATCAATTCATGAAATATAAATTAGTTAAAATAGATTTACTGGTGTTTTAAATTTAAAGACTTAGACTACATGCAGTTTATAGCAACAAGATCATCATAAATGTTGCTAAGTAAGACATTTCATTAGCAACTTGAAAAAATTCACTGAAGAGATCCATTCAGTAATGAACAAACAACATCATCTAATAATATGGTCCCAATCCCGGCACCAAAAAATGCTTTACTAAGAAATACAGCCCCTATATAGGTATAACATGTAGATAGCATAAAAACATACCTATACAAGATTTATAGATAATAAATTACCATCAGTAGAGTATCTTAGTTGTCTGCAGACTACCTGAGCATTGGTGTGTGACCACTTATCATCACACACAGTCCCCCATCTCCATTAATACATGTTTCTAGTCTTCCCACATTTGGACCATTTCCATTCACTATGGACATATCTGACCATGTGAGCAACCTACAAAAGGTGTAAATTTTAACATACAAAGCAAACTATGCCGAATCATGGCCAAATAGAGATAGAGAACAATAAAGAACTATCTATATATCTACAACATTAGATCTAGTTTTAATGCTAGATTACTCAAAAAACAAAAAGCACACCAAAAGCTACTGATAATACCCAAGCAGAAAGAAACAAAGCCAGGAGACACATCTAGATACTGTGCTGTTCTCTGTAGCCAAAAACAATAACTATAGCTCTACAGGTCTAGATCTGAACATAGATATGATCTGAACCACACATATATAGATATATCATAACTTGATAATTAAATTTAGCAGGTCATGTACTACAGACTATGCATAGTAAACCCTACAAAGTTCATAGTCTATCATAACTGGACCACTAGACTACCGTATAGCGGAAAATTTTGGAGGGACTAAAATTTGGCGAATTGCTAAATTTTGGTGATTGGCGGATTTTAATTTGGCGAATTGGTGGCCACGTGCATTGAGCATGCGTATAATGGCTCAAAATGGCAGGTTTAATTTTGGCGAATGGCTATCAAAATGCCAAATTTGCCAAATTTAATTCCCTCCAAAATTTCCCGCTATACGGTAGCTTTGAGATCACTGATATGTTTTCAGCATGGCAGCTAAACACACACTTAAGTTGTTTCACATTATACATTCTATAAAAAATACTGATACATAAATCTAGTCACAAACATCACTTTCTTTTACAGTACAAGTATTATTAATGTCAGTAAAATCAAGGTAGCCAGCCAATGGTTCAATGAGTGCATTAATTGAAGAAACCAAATCACTGAATACTGGCCTATCATTAGGAGACTCAGACCAACAAGACAGCATCAGCAAGTAACTGTGTAGAGAAATTATAAACTATTAAAGTGTGTTTATTATGTTCTTACATTTCCTGTGAGCAGGTTCCATTATGTGGATATTGTAATCGTCCTCCAGTATCCAGTAACTCCACTACTCCTATTGGATCCAGACCAGGATATGGTGCCTTACCAAGACTGAATACTTCCCAACAAAGAACACCATAAGACCACTGAAAATGAAAATAAAATTCAAATTGCATTTAAATTGTAATGGCAATTAAATACTTACAACATCTGATTTTTCAGAGAATAGTCCATCATGAAGACTCTCTAATGCCATCCATTTCACTGGTAGTTTAACTGTTGATGATCCTGAGTTATTATCACTGTTCTTTAGTTGCCTGAAGTAATTGCAGGCATATATGTCTTCAGATAGTCCAAAGTCTGCTACTTTAATTATACCATTATCATCAATCCTATGAAATGCATGCAATATGCACAAAACCTCTTTAGAAAATATTATACATATATATAGAATGATGACATCATCCTTTGATGTGGTTGGGTTTATATTTATAGACCTGTTTAGTATGATATATAATACCCATAAATAATAAACTATCATGAAATTTTGCATCTCTGCTCTGTTAAGATAAATCACAATTTGAGTTAGAAAGATTTAAATCCTGGCCACAAAATGCAACACTAAATGAAGCACTATGGTGCAATAGACTTGCCTGCTGGAATTCACTTGAGTGATATGTATTACTTGTACTGTGATATTTTAAGCAATTTGAAAAAAATTATTATTATAATGATAATTAAAATAAGCTATGGGTGTGGTCAACAACTAACTAAATCATGGCACATGGGTAGGAGAAAGAAGAAAAGCTGAAATTTATTTTAGCATCTGAAGCTCTATTCCAAGAAAGAGTTGGCACAGAAAATTTTTCTAGATATTTAAAAGAGACTGAGAGAGTTTGGTTGCTCCTGCTTTCCACAGTGTCGCCTGAAAAATTCTCAAAGAGGCTAAATCACAAACTTTGAGCAACTGGAACTCACAAACAACGAAGTTATGACAAAATCATTCTTTTTTTTTTCGTTAGATGGGATTTTCTACCTCTGAAGCAAATCTCGGCCCTGTAGAGTGAAACACGAGCTCTCGCCTGAAGAGAGGTCCCCTGGTTTAGCAGTTCACAGCTTTTGGTGCCACGGGATGCTACAAGAGCGTAACTAGATGAAAGAAAGCAACTTTATCTGTTGCTAGAAGAAGAAATAGAGCTCTAGACTGCTCAAACAAAAAGATAATTTTTTTACAAATCAATTAAACTGTGTGGACAGAATGACAGAACGAGAGCACTAAAGTGCATACCCTCGCCACATCTGTAACAGTTTTAATAAATTAAGAGAAAATAATTAGTGAAAGTTTTGAGACAGAGAAGAAGCTTCAGCATGTAATAGATTTATTAAAACTTAGTGAATGTTTTGAGACAGAGAATGTTTTGTATTTTTTAGATAGAGAAGAAGCTTCAGCATGTTTGCTGACTGCTGCATGCTGCAGCAATGTAAAGGTGTGGCTGCAATGAAGGTGTAGCTCAATCAAGCCATGCTCCACCCGCACACACAGTGATGGAGTAATGGTGGGCTAAGTGGTCAAGAAAGCTTTAGTTTTTCTCGAGTTTTAAACAGTTTAGCATATAATTGTTAGGTTCTATTTGTTGCATACAAACGTCTATTGA